CTGCTGCTGCTGCCGTTGCTGTTGTTGCTGTTGTTTTTTGTTGCAGCTGTTGCTTGATGTTATCATTATTACTCTTGTGGTACTCTCGATGCGGTCGGTTGTTGTGGGTTGTTCGTCGTGGTCGGTTGTTGTGGGTTGTTGCGGGTTGTTGTCGGTTGTTGTCGTGGGTTGCTGTGGGGCTGCTATTGTTGGGTAACGATTGTTGTAACTTGTTGTTGCTTTTGCTCTTGCTCTTGCTGTTGCTCTTGTTATTGGTGTAGCTGTAGCTGTAGCTGTTGCTGCTGTTGCTGTTGCTGTTGTTGTTGCTGCTGTTGTAGCTGTAGCTGTAGCTGTAGCTGTAGCTGTAGCTGTTGCTGCTGCTGCTGCTGCTGCTGCTGCTGGAGGTGGTGGTGGAGGTGGTGGTGGTGGTGGTGGTGGTGGTGGTCGTTTTGTCGTTGCTTTTGCTGTGGCTGTTGCTGCTAAAAAGCGAGAAATTGTTGTTCGGATGGGTCTCCTCTTTTTGTTCTTTCTTGTTGTCGTTGGCGGTGGTGTTGGTGGTGTTGGTGGTGGTGGCGGTGGCTGGTGGTTGTTGGTGGTTGTTGGTGGTTGTTGGTGGTTGCTGTTGGTCGTTTTTGGTCGCTGTTGGTTGCTGGTGTTTGCTGTTCGTTGCTGTGGGCTGTTGTTGGTTGCTGTTGGTTGTTGTTTGGTATTGCTGGTTGTTGTTGGTTGTTGTTGGTTGTTGTTGGTTGTTGTTGGTTGTTGTTGGTTGTTGTTGGTTGATGTTGGTTGTTGTTGGTGACCATGTACCTCCAATGCCGCTTGCCTATTGTACCGTGGTCCTTTGTCTTTGAAGCCATGTTGTTGTGGGTGACACAACATCCTCGCCAAAACCTGCGGGTCTTAGTTGAATACCTGCCAGCAGACAACGGGCGTTCAAGCTATGATAGCTATGGGAGTATCGCAACAGCAGCCACGCACTTGCAACCTCTTTCGAACCGAGCGCAATTCTCGAATCCCCCGAACACACCATTGAACAATCTCCGAGTTCTGCAATGATCCGTACAACCCTGCAGCTGTGACCTTTGAATATGCTTGCTGCTCCCAGCTTTGTTTACACATCGTTCATAATCGACCTACTTGCCGAGTAGACTTCTGGCGAGGTGCTGAGGTGTCAGCAACACCACCAGGCTTCGTGAGCTCAGCAAGAAGGCCGCGATTGACAAGATGCCTCTCTGCTTCAGCCTCAGTTCAGGTTCACTGTAGTCTTTTGTGTGCCTTGGGGTTTCACAGCAGGCAGGGTACGGAGAGTAGAGCTAGGTGAACAAGAGGGCGGCACCTCTGATTCGAGATTTCCTGTTATCCTAGCAGTGCAGGCCAACCACCACAAACATCGCTTGCTCCAGAGCCAGCTGCAAGTCTCAACTGTGGCAGCAACACCGTGCATTGCACAGAGCGTGTTCTACTCTCTGAAACATATGAGTTTGGGGCATTCGGTGATGGCGACCGAGAAACCACATTCTCGTTTGAGAAGTGGTTTCGGATGTGAAGCCAAAGCGTTTGGATGCAAGGAACCTATCGATTGAACGCAAGTTGTGCAAGATGCCAAAGTCCCCGGGTTCTGTTCCTCCTCGAGCAACTTGCCCGGATTCGAAGTCTGACGGCATGACTATCAATATCTTATTATTATGTGAGCCAATGTCAAGGCAAGGGACGCATCATCGTGCTGTGCCACACACAGCTTGTCGAAGAATACCATCCGAGGTCGGCAGACAAGCAGTCTGATGCGTTGCCAAAAAGCGAAAACGAAGAAGAAGGTAGCATGGCTGAAGACGACAGTCCATAATGCATCCGGCAGGACACCAAATCCACGCAGAAAGCCAATTGCAATGCTGACAAATAAGCAGGCATAAAAAGCTGCGCGTGAATTAAAGACCAGCAGAAGCGAAAGCAGTTTTAGCCACCGGCCCGAGCCCCAGTCGTGACTCAGAAAAGCATCATAAGCTTTCACCTGTCGGCTGAGTTCGTAGGTTGCTGCATCTGCTGCAGGCATGCCTCCATTCTCTGCCTTCCAATGTTTTCCCCAGCTACATAGTGCCTCATGCAAGGCGACACCCCGAATAATTTCAGGATCTGCTTCGTTGCAGAGCTCGCACGAGGAACAGCTGCGCTGAGGATGGACGCTGTCGCACGAGGAACAGCTGCGCTGAGGATGGACGCTGTTACATTTTTCCCCATCATTTTCCATGGGTCATGGAAGCCCTCTCCAAGGACATGCACTCGGTCTCGCGCCCCCACCCTAACTTGAACCGGAAGCTACGGGTGGTTGACAGACATCCGCACGAATTTCACACAAAAAAAACTCTCTTGCTACGAGCTTGCGAGCTTCATTGAAACTACAGTCTGAAGCGACCAAAGACTTGAATAAGACAACTGCTTCGAACTATGTACGTATGTGTGTAAACGTATATACATATGTATATGAAGGTGTGTGTGTATATATATACACATATACACGCATTTTACAGGCATGCGAGTTTCGATCGTTTCTTCGTTTATCTGTTCAGCTATACTTCTACCACTATGTATGCTTGCATCTATATCTGCGTGTATGAATATGTATATATATATATGTGTGTATATATACACATACAAGTAGACATATATACAAATACGCAGGCGAACTCGAATCTTCCCAATGCGCCCTGGCTGATTGCAGCTCAGCTCGTTCACTGGCTTCATGCACTCATCAGCGGTTTGGAACTGGTAGGTACCGGCTTGCACGCGGAAGGTCATTCATGGTCGACATAGAGACAAGAAGTCGCCACTGCCAGTCCCTAAGCTTACACGTTCCATCAACATTCCTCAACCAATAAGCCCTAAACTACCCCGATCTTCACGATCTCTGTGACGCCTTGATGGTCGGCTTCTCCGGTTCGGCTGCCTTGCTGATCTCGTTTGCTTCATGATCTGCGCACTTCGACTAGTAGGAGATGCCTACTGCGATGATAGGTCCACCGGACTGGGCTCTAACACTAAATGTTAGGTGCCATGATGATGACGATCATGACGATGATGGTGACGATGGTGGTGATGATGATCATGACGATGACGCCTGCTTTGATATCAAAAGTTAGCTGTCGTACTCATGCATCTCGTCCTATAGCGTGGAACGCATTGCCGGAGCCAGATGTTTCACGCCGTGGGTCTGGGAGCCAGTCTTGGGTTTGGGGTTGAAGCCTCAGGTTGTGCACCTTGAATCTCATCCCTGAGACCATCCCAGAAGGCTTCCTATCCGGAGCCCGGAGCACGAGGTGCTCGGAAGTACGTCAGGGCGTTCGGAATTCAGAAGCCACTGCCAGGCACAGGGCCCGACGGCGAGCTCTTTAGTGTAGATTCATACGCGAGCGCAGGGACCGTCATAATCATAGTCATATGGGAGTGGAGACGAAGTGGGGACCCCGACATAAACCCTCAAAAACAGAATCCTTGCTATAGTAAGGACCCAGGGCCCCTTGTGTTCGAAACCCCGCACCATAGAGCAGCAGGCTGTGTTTAGAGCACGACCCCAGAAAGTGGCTTGTAGGAAACAGACATGTAATGAAGGGCGACTCTCTGCCCCGACACCGCAAGGCATGGCCTCGGAGAACACATCTAGTTTATGCTGATCGCCTGAGGTCGCAGCATCACTGCTGGCTTCACTTGTCTCGGCCGCCGTAAGCGCTTCGCCAGGCGGGGCCTCTGCCGTCGTAGCTTGTTCGGAAGTCTTCACCTGGCATCTCAAGCAACTCGGACTTTGCGTGTCCAATGAATGTCGCGAGGCTTCAACAGCACGTTTTTTACTTTTTCGGAAGCGGGCCGCGAGAAGCTCGGAGAAAAGGGGCTCAAGGGCTCGTGGCCTGGATCTGTTTGGTGTTGTGTACTACATTGTGCACCTCAAAATACAATATCAGCGTAGGCAGGCCATCTGCCTCTCGCTCTCTTTGCCTCTGTGGCCACGGATGCGCGAACAGCCATCGCATTCAGAAGTTGGTCCTAATCTACTTCGCAATTCGCCACAGCATGACAAACTCTCTGGCTATCCCAGCAACAGCGATACTTTGCCAAGGGCCTCCTTGTGCCGAAGGCCGACCTGGCACGCTCGGGACGGAATAGGGCCGAAGGGGGCAGATGTTTCGGGATCCGTTGGTCTACCCGTCTACCCACAAGCTGACAACCTTGTATGGCAAACAAAGTAAATCGCAGTGTGAACTTGCGAGTAAATGAGTGGGTGTCTAGACTGTAAAGACATACACAAGGTACATCCATCCATCCATCCATCCATACATACATACATACAGAAAAAAGCCTTCCGTATCTTCGGCGGACGGGCCGGCCTCAACCATGGCATTTGGCACCAGGTAGTCTTGTGCTATTCGCATCTTTTCCTGGATTGATGGGAAGCAGAAACTCAGAGGCAAAGCGCAAAGCTAGCTGGGGCTAGCTTTTTGACAGCGACAGGTGCAGAAGGTGGTATTGTGCACGGCTGTCTGCGTTTGAGAGCCCTTGGGACATTTAACGCCCTGGCAAAAACATCTTCCACTTCAACCTTGCTAGACGTGGGCTGAGAAAGGACACCTCCGCAATCCCGAGCACCTGACACTGACCTTTCCTGGTTGCAACCCTACACACCTGCACAGTGTCTCAGCTATAGTAGCAATAGTACTTGCGAGCTTGAGTCTAAAGTTTGGACGCCATGCGAATGTTCGGCACATTCCCGAAAACTTGCATGCCAAGGCACTTGAAGGTCGTAGCCTCGACGAAATACTGGTTTGGATACAAGCAACTACACTGTTACACTCAGCCCGAAGCCAGATTCTGTCGTCGCACGAGGCCCGTTCCCTTCATGACCCCAGAAGACCCGGCCGCACAGTTGCCAAGACTTCAAGCCAAACGCTTTTATCATTGAAGTCTTGACACAAGAACAACTCTCGAAAACATATAGGCAACCCCCTTCGCGCCTGTGAGTCGAATGACCTCCATGCGGTCCAGCAGCGGTCCAGGTATCGTCTCCTCCCGCTTCACAATTGGATTTCCAACTGGGATTGGTGTGGGAAGCGAGCGTGCGCCAAACAGCCTTGTCTCGGTGGCATTTGCTCGAGTCAAGGGTAGACATATCGGGAAAGACACTGGTGAGATCGGCTCCAGCACGTTGGCCGTACACACGAAGAGGATGTTGCTGCCTGACAGATGTTACACATGCATACATAATCATACATACATAAACATATTATACTATGCTGTTTGTTCATCTATCGTATCTGTTCACGCCCAACTAAGACACAAGCTGCACATACACGAGCATGTGCGCTCTCTGTACATATGCAAACACAACACACACACAAACATATCTATATAGCCTATGTATATATATATATGTACACACGCATGCACATATTTATACTTTTATTTGATTATCTATACACACACTCACTTACCTACCTCTTTATGTATTTAGGAGTTTCACATACATACTTGCTAATTATTCGACGCTAGAAAGCATTTTGAGATGTCGAGACAGATGGGGATATTGACATGCAGGCGTAGACAGAACTATGGTCAGAGAACTTAAAAAAGGTAGACCATTACAACGACATATGGACCGGGGGCAGAGAGAGAGAGAGAGAGAGAAGACAGTCACTCCGAAGTCGATTCTCTTTCACTGTTTCGCGGTCTCCACTACCATGCAAAAGTCCACTACACAATCAAACAGTTATAACCAACCGAGATCAGTGTATTCCCACAATCCACAACACACTCAGGCAAGCATTCCTTTCTGCGACCAAGCCAGTCCTGTCCAGTCTTGAGCCAAATCCCATTCGCAAATTGTAGCATTCGATCATGCATCATGATCATACCAGAGCATTCCAGGGAGCTGTCATTTAACAGAGGGAGTGAGCGAGTGAGTGAGTGAATGAGCAAGTGAGTGGCTGGCCCGCCGCTTAGTCCCCTTGCCCACCCGACCCAACACGCACCCCGACATGCGCTTTACCAATCTTGCACTTCAGCAGATCCTTTATCTGCGTTTCCTCATCTTCCTACTACCTATCCTTTCCTTGTCGCTCGTCCGCGGCACCGGTCATGTCAAGAAATCTTGCTAGCAAGGAGCAACTGTTGCCATAGGCGAACCAGTCAAAGGGTTTAGACCACGAAATGGTGAGCACGTCGCTGACTGATTCAGTGGCTTGTGCACTGCACAAAATATTGACAACAATCACGGACACACCTTTTGCTCACATCTTGAATTGATCTTGAGTCCGGAGATCTCTTTCAAATCGAGCGGAAGTACCAGTAGACTGAAGACTTGGATTTCCCCCCGCTGCCTTGCTCTGGAGCACTAAGCTTACAAGTAACATTGACATTAAGTCTGAATGTTTACTATACTACCATGAGGCTGTAGGCCCTTCTTCTGGGGACGAGCTGCAATCAACTGGCACGTCCAGGTAGTGATCCACGAAGGAATTGTTCTGCGAAGGGTCCTATGCCGAGCTGGGACAAGAAGATCCAACGTAGAACTAGGGCAGCTAAAGCTGAAACCGGACCTGAAAATGAAATGCTCTCCAGTATCTCGAACTGTTCGCTTCGTCGAAAAAGCCAGTGGCGACCGGGCACAACATGTCACAACTCCGTGCCCTCGCCAGTCCAGCAACTCGAGCAGCGCGCTTGAGGGGTCTCCCTGGTGGCCGCGTCCGATCTTGTCCACCTCTCGGCATTCCCCGCGGCCATGCAACTCCTGAACTCTGTTAAAACCTCGCAGTGAACCGGTACAAGTTAAGGTGCGAGGCTGTCTGAGGTTCGGGGCTCTGAACCTTTCATAGCGGCAAGCTTCGGAGTTTCCAAAACTGCCCCGAAGACCCCAACCAAGACCGGTCCACATGCTCAATCACAATCTACATACATAAAAAAAGAGCTAGCATCAAGTACATGTACAAAAAAGCTAGCATCAACTACACCATCGACCGTGCGGTACAAGAGTCACTTAACGTTCTCGCCCTACCTACATGCCTGATATGTATGTGTATGTGTATACATAAATGTATGTACGTACGTATGTATGTATGTATGTATGTATGTGTATATATATATATGCATGTATGTCAATACGTGTGTGTGTGTGTGAAGACGCATAAAATGCGCAAGCGCATAGAAGAACAGGTGGCCCTGGCCTCGTCAATCAGGATCAGGGGGTTTGCGGTTTGTGTCTTTTTC